GCCTAAGGCACTTGACTGTTAACCAGAAGGCTGGAGGTTCAAACCCACTAGCCACTTCTCAAAAGGAAGGTTGAGCAATTTACTTCCATAGAGATACTGCCTCGGAAACCCAAGGAGGGGTCACCATGAGTTGGGTCTGACTCAACAGTACATAACAACAACCCAAGCCATGGTATTTTCAATTGCCTCATATACATGTCTGCTGTGCATGGGGTCGCTATGAGTCGGAAATGACTCGACGGCACTTAACAACAACAACAACAACAACATATACATGTGAGAGCTGGACAATGAATAAGGAAGACTGAAGAAGAGTTGATGCATTGGAATATGATGTTGGCAAAGAATACTGAAGGTACCATGGACTGCCAAAAGAACTAACAAATCTGTCCTGGAAGAAGTGCAGCCAGAATGCTTCTTGGAAGTAAGAATGGCCAGACTTTAAACTACTTTGGTCCTGTTGTCAGAAAGGACCATTCCCTTGAGAAGGGTATCACGCTTGGTAAAGTGGAAGGTCAACGAAAAAGAGGAAGGCCCTCAATGAGATGGACTGACACAGTGGCTACAATGATGGGCTCAGGTACAGCAAGCATTGTAAGGCTGGCCCAGGACCGGGTGGTGTTTTGTTCTGCTGTACATGGGGTTGCTATGAGTCAGAGCCGACTCAAAGGCACCTAAAAACAGATGTATTATGTGCCTCAGTTTCTTAGTTATTCCTAGTTTTCAACACTACACTGGAAAAGCTTTCCAAATAACTTGAATTCCTTACATTATAGGCCAGAAATGTCAGTTTTCCAAATCTAGAGCCAGGGTGCTCCTTGCCATATTTAACTGCAAGTAAACCACTGATAAATGACGAACAGAAAGCAAATCAAAAACACATCACTTATTACAAATTTGGTTCCAGTAACGTTGCAGGTTTGGAGTCACACAACCAAAAAACAAAGCACTAACCTTTTAGTTAACTTTAACCCCAATGCTTTAACTGGGGTGCCACCTGAGGTCCTTCTGGAGTTATACAGTTCTTCTTAAATCCCATTTCAGCCCAAGAACAATATAAAAGACCAGATATTTCCAGAACTTTCTGTGGTGGTTAAGTTTCTGTGTCAACTTGGTTAGGCCTGGTTGACTGGCTGGGCAGCTAGATGTAGTATTCCCCATGATGAGACTGGTAATCAACTGGTGGGACCTACCATAAGCAGCTGAATAGCTGCTTTAGGGATATGGTCTGCTTCCTGTATATAAGAAACAGCTTTGGGAATGGTCTCTAGCTTACGGCACGCTTGAACCCTGCATGTAGCAGTGTCATTGTTCAGCAGCCTACCATGTTCTGCCAACCTTGGAACTTTCAATGGACTTGAATTAATAGCCTGCAGTGTGGTTTGGTAACATCAGGACTGTGCCATTTTATTTGTTGATCTTGAGCTTGTTAGCCTCAGCAGCCAGTAGCTGCCTGAGTGAAGAGATGCCTCTAGCTTCAGTGGGCCGGGAGCAAGAGGCAGAGCTGAAACCCCAGGTCTAGGGCTTTCACATAGTCCCTAGAGCTTTGAACTCAGACTTCTAGCCTCCTGAACTGAAAGAGAGTAAATCCCTGTTCATCAAGCCATCCCATTTGTGGTATATTCTTGTCAGAATGGCACTAGGTAACCAGAACACCTTCTAAACATGTAAGTCTTTCTAGGCAGGGCTAGCTAAGTTCAGGGTAGCCAGGGCCACCAAAGGCAGAAAATAATACATGCGAAGTATAAACATAAAGTTGTTATAAACAACTCAAGTTTCCCAAAAGAGGCCCAACCTGGAACCATGCCACATACATAAAGTGCCCCACTTTGCCCCATCAATGTGGACTGACAGTGTTTGAGTTTCTACAGAAACAGGACCCACTTTTGAAGCATGGATCAAGCCAAACTAACATGACTATCACTTAAGCTTTTATATAACCAATGTGAAAGGGAAAAACAAAGTGAAACAAAAATAGAAGCTCTAGTACAGTGCCAAGTCATTCCTAGAAATGAGCTCTATTGCTAAAATGGCACTCAATGTCTATTATGCCATCTCCTCCTTTTATTTCCTACCACTCTGGTACCTAAGCATTTAAACAATTCAACTCTAATTTTTTTCTGGACTTGTATCCTCGTTTTAAAAACAAACAGACAAAAAATTTGCCATAAAGTCAATTCCAATTTATGGCAATCCCATGTGTTTCAGTGCCCAATAGGATTCTCAGTGGCTGTGATCTTCAGGAAGTAGACTGCCAGGCCTGTCTTCCAAGGTGCCTCTGAGTGGATTTGAATTTCCAGCTTTTTAGTGTTAGTAGTCGAGCATTTAACCATGTGCACTACCCAGAGACTCCTCATAGAGTTGGTATCTCACACAAAGACATGGGGAAAAAAAAAAAAAATGATGTCCAAGAACTTTATCCTACAGAAAAGCAGACTTAATTTTTTATTCTTATAAACACTTTTAAATCACTTCTTCTCAATAGTAAGTATAAATGGCCGTGAAAGGTTTAGATATTTTATAAATGGCCGTGAAAGATTTAGATATTTTACATATCTACTATTAAATCTACTACCCCAGGTCAACAAATTTAATTTCTTTTACCTCAGATTAGAGAAAAGCAGGAAAATAGGTGTTCATTCATTTGTTTTATAGAGTGACTATCTTCTGAGAAGTCATCTAACAAGTGGGTTGTCTCATATTCTTGTGCAAAACATTCAGCAGACTCTCTTTTCAAACTTAGCTCCTCTCTTCCATGAGCTTTTTTAAAAAATCAAATTTTAAAATGTTGATTTTTGGGGGATCTTATGTGTGTGCGTGTTCCTAAGAAATCTTTTTCTTTGTTTTTCCTTTTCTTTTTATTGGTATAACACATAGAACTTATTTAGATTTTACCAGTTTTACATGCACTTATACCATGCACATTTGTGGTCTAAAGTCATCACTTGCAGTAACAGAAAATAAGTGTCAGAAGATCTAGATACCTCCAATAATTCTGTGACCTTCAGTTAGCCTTAACCTATAAAAGAGGAATAATACATGGTCTAATACGTAAGAGCAAGGTATTTCATTTATATAAAAATCAAAACATTTGTTTTGATATTTTTTAAGAGATATGGCAAAAGATTCCTCTTACCATTATTTTCATAGGAAGTCTGGTAGTAAAGTCAGGAGACCTGTGTTTCTTGGATCCTAGTTCTGTTGCTTAGTAGTTGCTTACTAGTGATTGCAGCCAAGTTACTTAATCTCCCTGCACTTCAATTTCCTTGTAAACTTGAGATAATTCCCATCTCACAGCATTGTTACAGAGATGAAATGAGGTAATTCAATAAGCACTTATTCAACATATATTTATCTAGCAACGACTCAGCTGGATGTTATGCTGGTTAAATGTTCTTTTGCCCACTATGTGCCATACACTGTGCTACACTCCTGAAGTTAAGCAAGAAGACAACCACGACACAATAAAGCTTTGTGCAAAGTTATAGCAAAAAATAAATAAATAAATAAAGTTTTCTACCCATTTACCTCCTTGGAATGAATCATAGGAATGTGATGTGTTTTTGTGAGTTGTTATAGATGAATTTGTAAGACTGAATCCAAGTATAAACTGTTAGATCTAGAACAGAAGATAATTCTCACCTAATAGAAACAGATTTCAAGTTTAGCTGTTCACTAGTGAAATGCATCTGAAACACACAAGAAGGTCATAAAGGAGGCAGATCAGACTGATGATATACTATGCCAAACACAATGTGTACCTAGTATAGTACCTGGCATAGAGTAAGTGATGATAAATAGTCATTAAAAAGAACTGAGTTTGAATCCCAACTCTGTCACTCCCACATCAAGTAACTCTGGTTATTAATTTCTCTGGACTTTTGTTCTCTGTAAACTAGAAATGTGTCTGCTTTACCTATTTCATGGGACAGTTTTGATAGAATGAAATCACAAGAGAATGTATCTAAAGTTAATAAAACAGTAATTATTCGACATAACTACTGCCACGAACAGTTAAAGCCTACTTGCAGGGGTAAAAAGCTAATAATGAAGTATCAGAAAAGAAACAACAACGAGACCTGAGAAAAGTCCCTATTTTTAAAAAACGTCATCTTCCTTAATGAAAGGAGCTGGTCATTGCTAAGCAGGTGCATGTCTTCTACCTCAGGCTTTGCTGACAAGCATCTGCAAGGCTGAGGCCCCAGCCGGCGCGGTGGGGTGCAGGACGAGGGTACAGCAGGTTAAAGACGCCAAACCCCACCTTCAGCCCCGGCGCTGTCAAGGCATCACGGGTAAGGTGTCTTTGTCGTTAACTGAGCAACAGGGCGAGAGCGCCGGGTCACCTCCACCTTGCCTAGAGAGAAGCGACTGCCCGCACGCCCACCTCAACTCGACCCGCCACAACTCGCCCCGGACCGGAACTTCGCTTCACGCCTCCAGCCTCCCTCCGAGCTCCGAGACCACTGCGTCCGCCACCCCATCCTGCTCCCCCTCAGTCCCTGCCTCCCTGCACGTACTAGGCGAGCGAAGAAGCGCGGGAAGCGAGGCCTAAGCCAACAACTTACTGTCCGCCGCGGCTAGGCTGTCGATATTTGCGCTCGCTCGGAGAACCACCCGCTGCCGCCACAGCGTCTCCCAGAACCAAGGCGTGAGAGGCAGCAGAAGCTAAACCAAAAGAGGCGAACGAGCCCGAGGCGGGGCGGCCATATGGACACGCCCCCGAATCATCCTTGTATCTTCTTCGCGCGACGGAAGGTGGGAGGACGAAGGACTAAGACACTGAGCCCTGATCAGGACTTAGGTCCCGTCCGGTTCCTCTTCCCCCTCCCCGCCGCTAGTCGCCAGGTCTTCCTGTGACCCCGCCTCTGACCTCAGGGCGCTCCGCCCACTACTGGGCGACGGGCGCGCACGCGCACTTCCAGACTTATGTGACAGCTTCTTGCAATGTAGCTGGAAGTGTCGCGAGAGTTGGCCGCACGCTTCCCTGTAGTGCCGTAACTATGGCGAGCTTCGGGACTGATGCTGAGCAGGAACCTCTTTTAGGAGACCGCACACCCGGAAGCAGGTGAGCGGATGCTGATGGAAGACCTTTTACTCTTCCCACACTGTTGAAATTTGCTCTTTTCCGGGCGTTAGCCGCACTGGGCTGAACCAACACTGCCCAAGGGGTGCCGGGGCGTCGCGAGCCGACAGCGGATTGTGCAAGCCGAGCAGGTGTTCTATGGAGCGAGAGAGAGCGCCGTGCGCCGCTGCTAACCCACGGGCTCTGGTTAAGGTGTTAGAGAACCCCTCGCCGCATATTTGACATGTACTTCAACATTGCTGCGGTTCCCAAACCACTGCTTTCTATTTGGCCTTTTACAGCTGATCACTGTCCACATTTCACAAAGTTTCCGAAATAATTATTTTAATCTAAAGTTTTAAGTGGGAGCTCTGGTAGCATAGTGGCTAAGGCACTTGACTGCTAACCAGAAGGCTGGCGGTTCAAACCCACCAGCCACTCCTCGGAAGGAAGGTTGGGCAATCCTACTTCCGTAGTGATACTGCCTCGGAAACCCAAGGAGGGGTCGCTATGAGTCGGGGCCGACTCGACGGCACATAACAACAACAACAACAAAGTTTTAAGTAATTATAGTTTCTTGATACTTTGTTAGCCCGTAAACCTGTGTAAAATGAATTCACCTTTTGTCCTATACCAAATGTACAAATAAAGTCTAATTTTTAAGCATTAGTCTAATAAGGGATGACTCTAAGAAGTCTGGAGTCTCCGAAAATTTGAAATTCTGTTCTGCATTTTCCCCCTTTTTGATTGGGATTCTTCTGTGGAATCTTTGATCACAATTTTCGATAATGGTAGGCACCATCCAGTTCTTCTGGTGTCATGACAAAGGAGGCAGTTGTTTACGGAGGCAATTAGTCACACATTCTATTTCCTCCTATTCCTGACTCTCCTTTGTCTCTTGCTCCAGGTTGATAGAGACCAATTATGCTTTCTTAGAAGCTTTTAAAATCCCAGGCGCTACGCATGGAACTAAGAGGTAGAACAGGTGCATTGCATGTATTGTTGTTGTTATGTGCCGTCGAGTGGAACCTGACTCATAGTGACCCTCCTTGGGTTTCTGAGGCAGTATCACTATGGAAGTAAATTGCTCCATCTTCCTTCCGAGGAGTGGCTGGTGGGTTTAAACTGCCAGCCTTCTGATTAGCAGTCAAGTGCATTAGGCACTATGCTACCAGAGCTCCCGTGCATATTAGGCCAAACCAAAACCAAACAGTGTCATCGAGTTCATTGTGACTCATATCGATCCCCTTTAGGAGCTCTTGTAGCATAGTGCTTAAGGCATTTGATTGCTAACCAGAAAGTTGGTGGTTCAAACCCACCAACCACACCTCGAAAGAAAGATTAGGCAATCTACTTCTATAGAGATACTGCCTCGGAAACCCAAGGAGGGGTCGTTAATGAGTCAGGATCGACTCCACAGCAATGAGTTTGGTGGGGTTTTTTTGCTTTTGGTAAATCCAAGGTAGTAAATCTTTACAGTAGATTGTCCAGTCTTCCTTCCACAGAGTGGTTGGTGGGTTTGAACCTGCAGCCTTCTGGTTAGCAGTCAAATGCCTTAGGCACTATGCCACCAGAGCTCTTTATTATTAGGCCAATAAACTGGAATTCCCATGAAACCATGACCCTAAGCCTCCAAACCAAGAAACCAAAATCCTAAGAGGTTTTTGGTTAAACATAATCAGCCTCAGCAGCTACTTTTTCTTTCTTTCTTTTGTCATTGTTATAAATATATCTATCACAACTTTTACCACTTCAACTTTTTACAGGTGTACTTATTGACATCCATTACAATAATCACTGTGCAAACCTACCCTTAATCAATGTGATATTTCCATCCATTAACTCCTCCATACACCCTCCCTTCTGCTCATGGTAACCGCTAATAAACTTGGTTCTCTATACATTTGTTCTTTCTTATCTTTGTATATAAAGGTTATATAAATATATAAGCTTATACAATATATGTCCCTCTGTGATTGACTTATTTCACTAAGCATAGTGTCTTCCAGCTCCATCTAATCTATAGCATGCATCAAGACTTCATTTCTACTGACTGGTATTCTGTTGCATGTATGTACCACATTTTGTTTATCCATTCATCTGTTGATGGGCATTTAGTTTATTTCCACTTTTGGCTGTTGGTAATAGAGATGCAGTGAACATTTGTGTACAACTCTTTTTGAGTCTTTGCTTTCAAGTCTTTTAGGTATATATCTAGGAATTGCTGGGTTATGTGGTAGTTCAATTTTTAGATTTTTGAGGAGCCGTCACACTGTTTTCCACATGGCTTTACCATTTTGGATTCCTACCAGCTATTGATAAAGATTCCAATTTCCCAACATCCTTGCCAACTTTTTTTTGTATCTTATTCATTCTAATGGGGATGAAATGATATTTCATTGTGGTTTTGATTTACATCTTTCTGTTGGCTCATTATGCTGAGCATCTTTTCATATGTTTGGTGGCCATTTGAATTCTCCCCTTTGGTGAAATGTCTGTTGAAGTACTTTGTGCATTTATATGATTGGGTTATTTGTCTTTTTGTTGTTAAGTTGTCAAAGTTTTATACATATTTAGGTCATTAGATTTTTGATGGATATACGGGTTCTGAAGATACTCTCCTAGTTTGTAGCTTATCTTTTCACTTTTTGGTAAAGTGTTCTGATGAACAAAATTTTTAATTTTTATGAAGTCTTATTCATTTATTTTGTCTTTTACTGTTTGTGCTTTTGTTATTATATATTAGATAATCTTTTGTTAAAAGACAGGCCTGACAGCATTGCCCCTGCTTTTTCTTTTAAGAATTTTATGGTTTTATTTGTACATTTAGTTCCATCATTCATTTTGAATTTGTTTTTGTGTATGATGTGAAGCATGGATCCTGTTTCATTTTTCTGCATGGTGAAATGCAAATGTACCAGATTTTGACTTTGTAATTCCAGTTATTTTGATGCTAGTTTATTTAAGGGCAATGATTCTTAGACAAAATGTTAAGACAAATTGTTAGTTTGTCTTTTACTACACGATTTACCCAAAAAACAAAACCTATTCCTGTCGAGTTGATTCTGATGCATAGTGACCATATAGGACAGAGTACAACTGCCTCGTAGAGTCTTCTTGGCTGTAATGTTTATGGAAGCTTACAGCAAAGGTCTTTCTCCTCAGAAGCCGTCGGGTGGGTTCAAACCACCAATCTTTTGGTTAGCAACCAAGCTCTTAACCATTGTTCCAACAAGCCTCCTTAATTTTACCCTACTGTCTGTAAAAACAGAATTACTAGGGTTTCTGTAATTACAGAAAATGTCTTCATAGAATAGTTGATTAGTTTATTTCTTCTATTCTTGTCATTTCTTCTACTGCTGTTATACCATTATATTGTTGTCTTCCCACTTTGAATATGTATTCATTTAGTTCTTCAGTAGTTCACTGAAACACTCTCTAGTAAAAGTGTCATTTTATTGTCCCTTGGAAATCAGTCATTTTCTCTTCTTTTTTTTTTTTTT